TCTTTGCTAGCACAAAGAAAAGTTATAAAAACTCATTTGCAGAAGGTTTGTCTTACAATCGTATGTACTATCATTAGAGGCCAAGCACCTGATTGACTAGTTTTCTCGCTCCTTATGGTGTTCACAGGATTGCTTCAAGAAAGTGCCATTTGTTGACTCCATTAGTTTTTGATAATAATAAAATATTTTTATTTATTTATGTCTAACTCTACTACTTGAGTGTGCAGGATAAAAATGTATGTCATTAATAAATTAATCACTCAAAAGCAAATATCAAAACTCATAAGAATAAGGAGCTACAATTGAGCCATAAAACAGAAACCTCTTAGTTGAATAACTAAGGGAGTTAGTTAGATAAAATTCAAAAGTGAAGTTGGCGGGTTCAAGCAGATTGTGAGACAGAGAACACTTAATCGACTAAGAAGCATTATTAGTCGACTAAGAGCTTAGTGTCAAAAATTGGGTTTAGAGATAAAAATGACTTAATCAACTAAGAGGCAATGTTAGTAGGCTAAGAACTCACTGCCAAAAGTTGGTATCAGAAGATAGAAATGACTTAATCGACTAAAAAACATGTTGGTCAACTAAGAGCATTCTATTTGAAAATTTGAATTCGAATGCTAAAAGACAGATTAACAGCTAGAACTGTCTCCAAACTGTTTCTAACAGTCTGAATCTATCTAACACCCATCAGAGTTGATTTTCCAAATATATAAGGCACTCCCAATGGCTATGAATAAGTTTTGAAGGCTTCCAAGATTAAAAAAAGCTCAAAAATAGCAAAAACTCTCTTCGTACTTTCTTCACTTCACTCCAATCCTTGTAATAAAATTAAGCTCTTCACTTTGTACCATTCAAATCAAGTTAGTGATCATAGGTACTTCTTTATTTCTATTCTTCTTGATTACTTAGAGTGTGCGAGTCACTCTAAGGGGATTGATCAAGCTTGGGTTAGCTTGATTGAGTGTATAGGTTCAAACTCGGCCTAGAAAAGTTAGTTTTGAGTTTTGGTTGATCCCAACAAAAATCATTATTAAAGGTTGTGGCTAGGCCTACAAAACGCCATTGTAAAAGCTTGGTGGAAGCTTCGAAATTTCACCATTTATAGTAATTTGGTCTAAAAATCCTTAGTTGAACAATCAAGGTAGTGGATATAGGTCTTTGACCGAACCACTATAAATCTTGTGTACTGTCTGCCCTATTTTATTTTTAATTTCATTCTTTGTTAAATCATTTCTTCATCTTGCATTTAACTTCTCATCATTAATCTCTAACTTACCCCTAATTAGAAGTCAATCTAAGTGAGAGCCAAAAAGTATTATTCACCCCTCCTTCTAGCACATTTATTTGGGACCAACACCATTGTGATTAGAAGATTACTTGGCAAGGTAGCCTTTTGAATTTTAATTTATTTCTATGCTTTTATGAGTTAAAATCACTAAGGTGATCCTGCTATCGAATTTTCCACGTAGATACATATTATTGCCAACAAATAATATAATGATGAAGTAGAGCATTGTTTCCACAAAGATTTATTACTAAATCTTTACTAAGTACTAAAATTATGACAAACTAATCTTATTCAAGTAACTAATTTTTCAAAACATTAATTAAAACTAAATTAAAGTAAATACTAAATTAATTAAGAGAATTTGAAATTTTACTTGAGAAAAGCAATAGACTAAAATCTATTATTATGGGTTCATTCAACACTTCATCTAATACTAGCTTCTCTTATTATTTATGTTCATGGGTGATTTTACTAACTTAGAACCCAAAGCTATGTACAACTCTCAATTAAGATATTTGCACAAATACCTAACTTAATTAAGTCACTATATGTCTATTGGAATCAATTAGAGAAGGTTCATTAAAATGGTGTTCTAATTTGGATATGTTTGGCGATTGGCGTATGTCTACCCAAATCACAAATCAAATCACTTAAGTGACATGAACATACACTTTCAAAGCTTAGTCCAATCTAAAATCTCTCTATCGAGTCTTAATGAGATTCATAAATTAGTTAATTATTGATCAGGCAATAAAAACATTAAGAACATATTTAAATAAGCAAAACTATACATATTCATAGTAAATAAAAGAGATATAAATATTCAAACTATGTGTTGAAATCCACCACAATCTTAGAAAAATAGTTTAGCTCATAATATCTATTAAAAACTTCATCCAAAGAAAATTAGCCATTAATCCAAGTCAAGAATATAAGAAAACACAAAAATAGAGAGAGAAAATTAATAATTGAAACTTTGTGATTTCAATTCTCACTTAAATTCTCTTGCTTTCTTCCTTTATTTTTGACTTTGTTTTTAGAGAAATTGCTTGTTGCCTCTTCCCTTAAATATTTGAAAAAGGCCCTTTAAATAGCTTTCAAAAGCCCTAACTTCCAAAATCTTGTAAGATGTTTATTTTTGAAACATTCCTCAAGAGTAACGACTCTTGTGTTCTTCTTTGAAATCTGTCCTAAAAGTTTTTTTAGTATCACTGTGTTGGATTCTTGATGATTATTCTCCAAGATTTTGCTTCAACATGCAAAAGTGGTGAAAATGAAAGCTTTAGCCCTTTCTCTTATCTTTCTACTGGCTCAAGCATTACATCAATTGGACTTCTGGAGTGAGAGTTGTGCTCAAAATACCGCATCATGTTCAGTCCATGCAAACTGCTGCATTGCTCCAATTTCAACAAGGATTTTAACCATGATCCGGTCTGAACCGGGCAAAGTAGTAAAATAAAAGTTGTATCCCTTCCTTTTAAAGTTAAAGTAGTCAAAGAATCACCTCATTTAGAGTTCTGTACAGAGAGTAATGATCAAAATACCGTAACATGTTCAGAAAATTCTACATTTAATCATCCTTGCTTAGTTCACCCCCATGAAGTTTTATGCACTTGCACACCTTCAGAACAAGAACTAAATTAATGATGGATCAAATTAGGACTTTTAACATAAAAATAAGCTAAAATTACTAAAATTAAAATATTCCAACATGTATTAAACTTAACAATGAAAAGCATAAAAACTACCTAAAATTACTTAAAAGCACAAGGACTTAGCTATCTTTAATTAATAATCAAAATGTGACAAAATAACTCTATATCATAGAGTTATCAAACCCTAAAACTTACAATTTTGCTAGTCCTCGAGCAAAACTAAAATACAAAACCTAAATGAAGAAAAACAACTTAACTAGAAATCAATTGCACTAACTCATTAATCACCTTTAATATCTTTAAAAGTTAATAATATTCTCAACTCTAAGCAATACACAAATATTATTCAAGTTCGTGTTTCAATTCAAATGCGAACTTATCATCAAGTGGATTTCCATGTGTGTGTGCAATTTTTTCACCAAAAACATTATACAATCTGAATAAGTTTATACACTTACAAAATTCAAAGTAGTATTGAAATTCCATATGTTTACTTTTCATCTCTCTCTCCACTAATGTAGGCTAATACTAAGTTAAGGATCAATATGACTTTATTGAGCTGTAGTGTTTTGCTAGAGTTAAGGTATAATATGGAATAATATGTTGCTCAAATCTTCCTAAGCACATAATCATTTTAAGACCTATTTAGAGCTTTATTTTCTTTCACCAAGTACACTCCTTTTTCATCAAAATTTTCTTTTGTTCAACACTTCATTTTTCTTGTCTCTTTTTTTTTCTTTTTATTTTTCTCAATTTCACACCCTCAAACTTATTTCTTTATTGGTCACTTGTTATTTTTATGCTCAAGTGATATTGTCGTGGTGTTGATCTAGAAGGTGAAAAATGTCACATGTCCATGTCATCATGCCACATTAACATGTCATGTCATGTCATCATCCATTATGTTATATCAACATCAGGTGATACAGAATACTAAGCGACATTTTGATTAAGTCAATCATTAGTCATAAAGATTTATTTAGCTTAAAATAAAAATATAAGAGTTTATTTTGTTCACAACAAAAGTATAAGACTTGATTGAATGCAATAAAAGAATAATAACTTATTTAAATTTTTTAAATAACTTATGAGTTTTTTGAGATATTGTGCCTTTTTTACTTTTCTAGTTTAAAAAAAACACATTAAGCAAGAACAAGGTCATGAAGGTGGTATATTTACAATTGAGGCTCCACTTCATGCCTCAAATGTTCAAGTTATTGATCTTGTTATTGTATATTGGCTTTAATTGTTATTGTACAATTTGAAATATAAATGTTCCTAACATTATGGTTTCTTTTATCGAAAAGAAAAATGAAATTGTTGATAGATTATTATTGATGTAAGCAGCCTTATAAGATCGGAGTTAAATATCTGGAAAATGGAACCTAGGTGAGAATATCTAAACAGATAGTTAATAAGGTTGGGTATTTTTTTTTCAAAAAAAAAAAGGTTAGGTATTTAGTAAGTAGCGTCTATCTAATTGGGATAATGTTCAAGTAATAATTTCAAAATTTAGTTGAATAATTATAAGGTTTAAGTACTATGATATATAATACAGTTAAGTTATAAATACTTTAAAAATACCAAGTAACTCACCCGTGGACATGCTCATCTTCCCTGCTTTCCATCCCTCTTAATTTGACACCTTTAGCCCATGATATGTCCCCTTGGATACCTGTGGCGGTGGGCGTGGTGCAACTGGCAAGCCCAAGTCCTTTTATCAAAAATAATAAGTGTAAGTGCTATTAGCTATCACAAAATAGGTTGTGCATGCTTGAAAGATTAAAATGTTTTGGCTTCCAATTAAGCCTCAAGTTCCAACCCTCTACATTCCTTCTAGCTAGTGCTATCAGTTAAATTACATGCACGTGCGGTACAATCTTATTTAAATTTCATTTTTCTGATTAAATGACTTTCCATTCTCCCAAAACTTCAATTCTAGCATGGCAGACCGTTGATACTCATAATTGCATTAGAAATTCCCACGCCAAGATTTAGCTATAAAATGAGATGAAAACCCGAGTCACTTCAGCAGGAAAAAAAATTGAAAAAATAGTCTTCACACAATGAGCTCTTACGATTGCCTTGTTCTTCTACTTGTTCTGGCATTAGCCACACTTCACCCATATTTGGTTGCAGCTGATCAGGTGGGCTTGCCTCCGGAATTCACAAGGTGGCATGTCTACGTTGTTAACGGATTGAGCAATAACAGGACTTTGTTTCTCCATTGCAAGTCTAAAGACGATGATCTAGGCATCCAAAATCTCTCTCCGGGTACAAGTTTCACCTGGAGCTTTCGACAAAATTTTTTTGGGAGAACGCTTTCTTGGTGTTACATGAGCAAAGACGGCAACGCCCACGCCGCGTTCAAGGTGTTCTGGCAGGATGCGCTTCTTCTTTCACAAGTGTTTATGGAAGAATTGCATTTGGACTGCTAAGGATGATGGCATATACATAAAAGATCTTCCCAGAGATTCTGATGAGTATCGTGGGCAATGGCAACCAGGATTACTCCAAGATTGAATTCCATTATCTACCTGCCAAGCTAGCTTTGGATTTTTCCTTTGTTATTGCTGATCCCTTATATCCCTCAAGTCAAATGTCTTTCCTCATCCTTTTTTTTTAATTTTATTCATGATAAGACCATCAAACACCTAATTATTTGATTCATTAATAATACATTATCTTTTATCTCATATTTATAGAATAAATTCAAACCTCTTTTCTTCAATGAAAAAAAAAAAAAAACCCACCAAACTAGTACTTCCTGTGGGTTGTGTCTCAGCCAATAGGTCAATAGCCCTCAAATGTTGAAATTTTGTTAATAAGCAACCAAGCAAAACAAGAAATTTCTGTTTCATTTTCTTTTGCTTTTGATGAGAAATACCTTTCATTCAAAGCAAAGTCACATTATATCCATCATTTTGGTTTTCGGGGCATCTTATCTGGCACAATACAAGGCCTGTTCATGGATCATATTTTCTTTTGGTAATACTAGCTGATTGTAATATTGCTGTTGATATTTTTAATTGATGGGACTTCAGCATTGTACCATTGGCTTAATGGACTGATTGCGGGTTACGGGTTCACTGAAAACGGTTTGTTTTCCTTCCCAAAAGGTGTGCTTTTACTTCACTTTTCCCTCTGATTTCAATTACTCAGTAAATACCACAGTGGAAAAAACACACCACAACAAGAAATAAAAAGGAAATGTTTGACTAATCAATTTTTTCTTTGTTTAGATGAAAATCAATTATATATTAAGGACCATTAGTTGTCTAACTGGTGTGTATTGCAAAATTAAGAACTTAATTTGTGTCCTTGTTTGCAATTAATTAGAAAATTCATCATTTTTCTTTAGGTTTTGCCAGCCTTTAATAAATAATATCTTCTCTCAATATACTAAATTTCACATTAATTGTCAATTATTAGATTTCGTATAAATATGTTACTATAGATAATATATTTTTAAATATTCTTTGAAAATATTTTAAGAGCACTCCATAATAAAATAGGGAAAACTTTAAATAAGAATCCTAGTTTTAATTGAAATTAAATAGGATGCCTCCTTGAATTTAATGTTAATGAATTGAGTGATTCTTTATCCAAATGGCAGAAAGAAGCTGATATAAATTAATGTAGTTTTATTACATGCATTGGCACATTTATAATCTCCTAGGCCAAGTTTATCTGGTTCCGAAATTCGGCAATCTGCATTTATAAGCGGACTTGCAAATTTCGATGCATGAAAGAAGAAAAAAGAAACGCCAATTACGTTTGCCAACCTTTCCAGTGCCCACACAACTACTAGTTGATGACTAAAAATTCATTGAAGGGAAAAAGGGGATTGTCTAACAGCCCTTACAGTTTCCAGTTCCAGCTCTCAACACAGAAAACAATGAGCTGTGTTTGTAGAAATATGTTTTTCTTGCTTGTTTTGGCAATAATAGCCATACGGTCTTCAACTCCAAGTTCCTCTGAACCGGTAAAGGGCATACAGACGGCTTCGAGATGTACAAGACATGGCATATTCATGCTGTCAATGGGATGAGCCACAACAAGATATTGTTTTTGCATTGCAAGTCTAGTGACAATGATTTGGGCATCCATGATATCACGGTAGGCAGTGAATTCAATTGGAAATTCAAGCCACAGATATTCGGAAAAACGCTTTTCTGGTGTTACATGGCCTGGGGCAATGTCCATGCTTCTTTCAAAGTGTTTTGGGACGATAATGATCTTTTCTATAGATGCAATTGGAAAAACTGCATTTGGACTGCTAAGGATGATGGGGTTTACTTGAAGAACATTCCTGAAAACTATGATGAATTTCGTCACAAATGGGAACCAGGAAGATTGGACGCAAATTCGCCTATGTGATTACATTACATACATGAGCATATATTGTTTCCAGCTCTAATGATGAGCTGAAATGAGAGGGATGTACTGTCGAATATGCAAACCTATGCTGCAATAAAATGCCCATCTGTTTCATTCCATAATATTTTTGTTCGACGCATACGTGAGCCTCAGAGTTGTACTGTTCAAGTCCACATGTTCAGTACCGATTAACACTACATACTTTTTACAACAGATAAAATAATTAGCTTTAAGATAAGTTAATGAATTTGTAATTGGCTTAATGAGCTGATTAACGGTTACTCTTCAAACAGTTTTTTTATTTCTACCAAGGGCCCTGCATTCACTTCGGTTGTCCTTCCAAATTTTTAGTCACTGAGGTGAATTCCAAAGTGCTCACATGGTCACATATACTAAACATTCCAGCAGGAGGGCAGCATTCACTTTTCTCGAGTACCCAAGGAACGATTTGAGTTGATCAAAAATCCTATTAATGGACATTAATTACTAGGTGGTCTCCATGAAATTAATGACTTCTCCCATGCCAGAAAGGATATCCCAATGCCAGAGCGAAACTCACATACCTCCATTTATGTTGTTTTATTACTTTGGCGCTTTAAAAATCCTTTAACCGAGTTTATCAAAGACTCCCAAATTAGACAAATCTGCATTAATCATCAGTCTTAGAGTGCAAGAAAAAGGATAAATGAAGCGCTAACTGAGTTGCCTTGTACCCTTCTAGTTGTACTTAACTACGGTCAATACTTTGACTTAACTCTATAGTAGTGTTAAGTGTCTTATTAGGAATGTAATTGTTGGGAAGTTGCTTATTGAGTAAATAATATTGGATCGTTTGGTATATATGAGAGTTTTGATTAAAATTTTAAAAAGATCACATTACAGTGTTGAATTTGAAAACATTTTATTAAAAATGTAGCATTAATTTACAAAATTACTCTTATATGAAAATATAAAATTTAATAAACTTATATTTTCTTAAAGTGAATTTTAGGTTTTCAAACTTTATCCCTTAAAAAAATAAATAGTAACATGACATAATATTTAAATACTAATTATTTAAATATCAAATTATGTGAAGTTACTAAATTTTTATTTTTTGTAGTAATTCTTAGAACTATTAAAAAATTTGTTTTTTGTAATAATTCCCAGAACTATTACAAGAATAGTAAAAGTCATTATCCAAAGGGTTTTCTGAAATTTTTTTGTCATTGAACTTCTTTAGCTTTGGGGGAAAAAAACTTCTTTAGCTAATGATTTTTTTGTTTTATTTTTTTCAATAAATAGCAAATGATTTTTGTAATAATAGTTGCAGTACTAATTTTTTTTCCCATAATGAATTTCCTCTTAACTAATAGCGTTAATAATTATGTATACAAACAACCAAAAAGAAAATATATAAGTTTAGATGAACAGTAAAAGGAAATTGTAGTTAGGTAATAGCCAATAACTGTATCTCTTGCTTAAGCATCATCACATGATAAAAACAAAAAGCATATTACTCAAATAAGCACCTAAACTATTGAAGAAAATCGAAATAAATCCTTCTTTTATTGCATTTAATAAAGTCCATATATTTTTATTTTAAGTCAAATAAGACCTTATAACTAATAATTGATTAATTACTATTGATTAAAATACAACTTGTCATTTCATATCCACATCGCACTGACATGGTATTGATATGAAAGGTAAAAAATATCACATAGTCATGTAATCATATTAAATTAATATGTAACGTCATCATCAATTATGACATATTAGTACACCATGTCGGTGTCATATGACATGAAACAACAATGTGCATTTTGACTAAATCAATCATTAATTATAAGAGTTTATTTAAATCAAAATAAAAATATAAAAGCTTATTTGACTTAAAATAAAAGTAAAAAAGCTTGATTAAATGCAATAAAAATATAAAAACTTATTTGAATTTTTCTGAATAGTTTAGGGACTTTTTTATATATTATGCCAAAACAAAACAATAAAATAATATAGTAAAGTAATATTTAGGTTAATTCCACTTCAAGTTTATATTTAAAATGATTAAATAAAATAAAATTTTAAATATAAAGATTGATTAAACTAATTAGATTCAAATTAATAAGTCCATATTAAACCAACTCCAAACTTACTTCAAACACCAATATTAAACATATAGTTCAAAGATAAGCAACATTCCAAAAAAGTCTTAAAACGCAAATGACTAAGAACTACTTGTCCATTGAAATTGCTCTATATTGAGTCACTAAACATAGCCTTCACATAAAGCATCTTATATTCATATGATATTGTGCAAAAGAAACCAACTACGCAAATTCAAAACTATTCGAGTTCATATAAAACTAATTCTTCCCTAGCTTAAACCCATTGTTCTTCAACTAACTAGTGAAATAAGCATTTAAATCTATATATCTTCCCAACCTTGGTGTGCCATTAGTGGGTAAAACCTTTGGAAAATCCTAGTTTCCTTGAAAGAATTTGAAATCTATTGAGAAGGTTAAAATCAATACCGGAATCAAGGGTTTGGAAGTTTAAAAGTTGGAAAACATTACCTATGTTAGTTCAACACCCAAAACCCGACTTCAAATCTTCAAAAATAGTGATTTTTAGTGAAAAGAGTAAAGGATTATTGTAAGTTGAGAGAAAATAAGGGAGAGGTGGCCAAGGTTGTAGAAAAAAAAAAGCCTAAAAGGAAAGCTTTTGGGTGGAAAATATTCTTCTGTCATTTTTTATTTTTAAGTAAATGATGACAATTATCAATACTTTTGGTAGAGGTATTGATACTTGAATTTCTAGGTTTCAAGTATCGGTACTTGTTCATCAAGTATCGATACTTGTTCTTCAAAAGGCTTTTGAAAGCTTTTGGGGCAATAAGTTTCAATACTTGCTTTTCAGATATCGATACTTCTATTCTAGATGAAAATTTTCATTTTTAAAATTCATCCTTTTGGCCTACATCTCTCTTATGATCATATACACTTGTAAACTTGAAATTTAAGCTTTTCTAAAGAAAGTCCTCAAAATCTTTAGACTCAAAGTACAATTTAAATGCTCACCAAGTAGGTTTTACTTTTCTATCTTTCATTTAGGTTGTGGGGTTTCACATTCTTCCCCTTTTAGGAAAATTCATTCTTGAATTT